AAGCAGTACCGGAAAAACCTATACATCAAAATTCCCCTATTTTTGAAGATAATAACCTCGAGGATGATTCTGAATTAGCGATTCAAATGAATCAAGTGATTTAGATAAGATTAGCGAAAACATTGTAGAGATTAAAGAATCTCTCCATACACAAAGAAATAATGTAGCTTATTTTATAAGTACTACAGGTGAACCTTGCGATGAAGGTGCCCGCAAGCTTATAGACAATAATAAGATAATTAGTAAACAATTAGTTAGTTTAGGAGAAGTCACGAGAGAAAAGAAAAATAAGAAATACTCTCAATTTGGACTTTGCATTCGAGGCGAAACCTCCGAATCCATGAGCTATATTAAAGATCGAATTTATTCAACTTTGTTAATTTTAAGAAACTTATTACTTAATTTAAATCAGGCCGAAGTTTGTATAGCTAAAAGTAAATGTATAGAAAATTTAGAGTGGATAGAAATAAAATATGTAATTAATAAAGTATTTAAGAATTGCAGTATTAAAGTAATAATTTGTAAAGATACTTTAATATATGTACCTTTGGAGCAACGTGATACAATATTTTATGAGCTTCATAAATCCCCTATTGGAGGACATCGCGGCGTTTCCAAAACTTTTCACCGGATTAGACAAAATTATTACTGGGAAAATCTAAAAGATGATATTCAACGACGAATACAACAGTGTCTAGAATGTCAGCTAAAGAAACTCACTCGTCTACAAACGAAGCAACCAATGATAATCACTGATACCTCCGCAACTGCATTTGATAAAATAGCTATGGACATTGTAGGTCCACTCAAGAAAACCCCTACAGGATATGAGTACGTCTTAACTCTACAAGATCAGTTAAGCAAGTTTTGTCTAGCTGCTCCGCTAACAGATACACTATCGTCCACTATAGCTGACGCTTTTATTAAAAAATTCATTTGCGTCTTCGGTTGTCCCAAAGCCGTGCTTACAGATCAGGGAAAGAACTTCTTGAGTTCACTGATGACCAGAATTGCTAAACGTTTCAAGATAAAGAAATTGAGAACCACCGCCTTTCGACCGCAGTCTAATGGTTCTTTAGAGAGATCACATCACGCTCTTGCTGAGTATTTAAAGCAATACACAGAAATAGACAATAATTGGGACGAATGGCTCGACTTAGCCATGTTAAATTATAACACCTGCGTTCAAGAAAGCACTAAACATACCCCATTCAAAGTTGTTTTCGGTCGATTAGCCCGATTGCCATCCAGTAACCCCTTACGTGAAGCTGACATGGTGCCGACTTATAAGGGATATATAACTGACTTAGTAAGACGACTCACAGGAATTCAAAAATTGGCATACGAGAACTTAATAGCTTCCAAATTCAAATCAAAAAAATATTACGATCAACATATAAATCACATTTAAAAAGCTTGTTCGTGAGGACATAGCGGAGTTTCGCTAGTTTGTTTCTTTTGTCACGCGTCTTCTGGTTTTTCGTTTGTTCGGTGCTCTCTGTTTTTTTTTATATTGTTTTTCCCATTTTGGCTGCCTTTTCCTTCTTTTGTTATTTTATTTTATGTAATTTTTACTTTAATTATTGTTTTGTTATTTACTTCTATTTTTCTTTACTTTTTATATTTATTATGTACGTTTTTTTTTATACTGTATTTTTATTTTTTTGTCTATCTTTTTAATTCTTTCTTATTTTTTATTTTGTATTGTAACGGCGGTTCAAAAAAAAAAAAGAGAGAATAAAGAAAAAAATACCGACCACACATTTAGCTCGTAAATTAAGATGAAAAACTGCGTGCGGATGAATAAAAACGATTTTTCCTGTGAACGGCAGTTTTCGGCTCGTGCATCTGGCGACTTTCGGGTACTGGAGATTATCAGGGCGATTTTACGATCGCGTCATCCGGAGTAGTCAGATTGCGCGCATGTTTAGAAAGAAGAGATCTGTAGCGCACATGTGCATCCTGCCAACAGTACTATTATTTTATTTTAAATAATTTATTTTCATTTTTGCTAATTTCTTTTAAATTAAAGGAAACAGATTTGCTTGCAGGTCTCTCGAAAAATTGCGAAATTTATCTTCCCGTATTTATTGGTTCATTTTCTTTACGAGTTTCTTTGCGTTAGACAAATTAAGAATGACTTAAATGAAAGTTATTAATTATGTTTGTTGCAATTAACTCTGATTTTTTTTTTTTTTTTTTTTTTCACATTTCTCAAAACTTTTTAATAATCAATTAATAGTTAAAACTATTAATATCCTAATTGTTCTTAGATAAATGTAATTCTTAACTTTTGTTCTATCATTTAGTTTTATTATAGATTAAGAAACATTTTTGTAAAATTAGAGTACCACACACACAATTAATTTTAAATAAAATTAGTTTAAATAGATAAAGGCCAGAATAGTACATAGAGGGCCATCTATGCGAAGAGGGCCCAAAACACTAAAATGAAGCCACACCCGCACACTCCGCCCCCGGCCAATTAGGATTCGAACCTTGCTTACGCTGAGATACTCCCCAAATTTTCCAACCAATTAAGTTGAGAAAATTTTAGTTCTTCCTGCCCAAAAATGACAAAGATTTTCGAGTGGGAGTCTCTTGTAAAAAAGTATAAAAGAGATCTTTTCACGAAAATTCAGGCATTACATTATTAATTTTTTCGAAATTCAGTTCGTTCAAAGTTAGTAGCTCAGATTTAGTTCATTCAGTTCGTACAATTTATTTGAATTCGTTAGCTATTCTTCAAGTTCGTCCAGACCCAGTCAATCTTTTAGTGTGTGTGTGGGAAAACCATTATAAAAGTGAGTAAGAAAAATTAAATAAAATTTTTTTACATTCTAACTACTCTCCTTTAACTTCTCTCTCCTTACTCTTCCTAGTTTCGCGTACGGGATTTTCTTTCTTAGATAGTTACACTCGATTGCCAAGCGTGTGGTCGAGTGCATATTAGATAGGCTCCCTTTACGTTATTTTATTGCCAAGAGTGTGGTAAAATAACGCGAAGTATTGCTATATTGCCTAGCGTGTGGTACAGCAAAGCTTCGATCCCCCGTCGCCGAAAAAAGGAATTTCCTGCGATAGTGGTAACGCACGTCCCGGTTATTGTCCGCAAGGATAGACCAAAAAGTGCGCCTGAGAATTGTTTCGTCAACCGACGTCACAGTATGCTTATTATTTGTCATGTTTTGATTTGGGTTTTTACCCGTTTAATAAATGAAAAAAAAAAAAAAAAAAAATATACTGATACAATATTTGTAGTGTTTTAAGTGCAACGAAATCGACGATATTTCATTGTTTCCAAAAATGTTACTTTTTAAATTCAAATCTGCATGAAAATTTTGTAGTGGATCAAACCTACATCGGATTGACGATTTTTTGTTTAGAAAAACACCAATTTTGAATTAAAAAAATATTGGGAATGACTACTAGAAAATTCAAATCTCCAAGGCTCTGGAAAGCTTAAAAATCCTAAATAAAATAAAGCGAAATCAGGGGTGCCTTATAATTTTGAGCACTACTGTATATATAACTATAGGAACCATTAAACATGATTACTCATGACCCGCAAGCTAGGGCTATGGTTACGGCTGCAGTTGAAATCTAATCATAGATGACCTATGATTAGATTTCTATCTGATAAAGTAGATAGAGAGAAACCAGATAAAGATCTGGAAAATTCGATCTGATTCGACAGAAATTTTTTTCCTATTCATTTTATTCGAGGTTTTTTTTTGATATGACACTTTAATATTGTGAAGTATCACTGTCTTCGGCGCAACTGTTGTCGCGCACCTAGCTACGTAATAAGTTGAAGCATGCGCGGCACACTAAGACATATTAAAATTGCTAACACGGCATAAAATAACAAATATTTATCAAGCCTTTATACTTTATAAAATAATTGTTTATATGACTACTGGATATACTATATAAATTTTATATACAGTTAGTTTTATATTTTAATAATATACTTTATAAATGATTGTTTATAGAATTAAGATAGATTCTTAAAAAAATTAGCATTATTTTTAATATTTTTATTCATATTTTAGAAGAAAGTGTGGAAATTTAAAAGACCTTTTTCAGCACAAACATATAAATCCAAAAATAATTTTAATATATAAAAGGTATTAATTCGTTAATTATTAATTAGTAAAATACTTTAAGAAGTTACAATAAACGACGTTTTACGTTATATATATAGATACAGTCCATTATTACAATCTTGGCTACTATGCAATCTAAGTATTATCTAATTTGCCTTGATTCACGTTGTTAGCGTGAAATATCCATAAAAATCAATTGATTTTATGAAATAGATATCTTTATTTTACTATTTAAGTTTATTTAAATTATACTGATCTATCTTCGTAAGATCATTGTTGTCCGATACCCATCGATCGAAAGAATTCTATTTATACTAATCCTTCTCTCATCGCTGGTACCTTTCTCTTACTAAATAACATAGTCTTTCAGTTCTACCTTTGTGAGCATACTGAGATTTACAATTAAAAATTAAAATTCGAGTTATTTTAATAGTAATAATTTGAATGCGACGAGCATAATTTATCCAAAATATATCGTCAAAAAGGCGTATTGCTATAGTTCTATATTTCACTTTCTAAATATTTTGAATAAGACACTTATGTATATGAATGTTTTGATGAAAAAATAATCACTTAATAAGTTCCTCGTATAAATAATACCCAACGTCCTATTTATCGACTGTAGCGTCAAGTAAGAAAGTAGATTATCTGCCCGATACATAGAGTAGAAATATATAAAATTCAGATTCTGTTATCTACATTCCATAAGCATTGTATGTCGACACACTAACCATTAATTTGGTACTAGCATTGCTATAGTTACTATCTGCAGTGGCATTTTATAAGTTTAAAAATTATGTTTTTTACTATAAATAATTAAAATAAGAAATGTCAAAATGATTGACTTATTTGTATGCTAGTGGTAATTTCATCTAAAAAATTAATTTACAGAACTTCAAATGGCCTTCGATGCATTTGATCATCAAAAAAAAGGAGTTGTTAGTACAGATATGATTGGAACGATGCTTGGTATGTTAGGACATGAAATACGAAGTAGTATATTATCAGAAGTTATAACAGAATTTGATCCTCATGGTAAGTCATATTAATAAAAAATATGGGAAAATTAAATTTTTTTATAAATTTTTGGAATGTATTCAGGTTTATAACACAAGGTACATATATTGACGATAATGCAGTATCGAAAGATATTCATTTGACGATATTTTTGAGAAATACTTTAATGAACAAAATGTATTTATTCAATTCATTCTTGATAATCATTAAGTTATAATTATAAAAATATTTTTTATATAAAAAAGAAACCATTAAAAAACCTGCAACGGAGACATTCGACCGATAATCCGGAAGGTTGTACACGTGGTTGTTTACATAAATTATTACAAAAGGGAGGCATAAGCTCTCCGACGGCTGAATAATACACCAAGTAACGGTCGTACGCAAAACTAACATTAGAATAAGGATCAGTGATAGATAAAATACGGTGACTCTCAATTAAATCAAACTTAATTTTTATTACAAAAAAAGAAATACTTAAACGGGCCTGTTGAGTTTCACGTAAATATAAATCCAATCGGGAGAGGTTAGATTTCACTCGAGGGGAGTGTGGACGTGTCTTGGATGTGAGCGCTAGTTTTGGTGAGAAAATCAAAGAGGAAAAGTGTTTGAGGAGAGAAATAGAGGTGAAAAGAGCGTGGAGGCGGAGGAGGAGTGGCGAAGAGAGAGAGAGGCCTGGAGAAGAGCAGGAAAAAGCAGAGAGAGAGAGAGGAATAAAGAAAAAAAATAAAATTTGAGGCAAGAGAGAAAATCAGAAAGCGGGAAAGGCAGGCAGAGAGGAGGGGCGGTAAGAAGTAAAGGCAGAGATAGAAAAGGTAAGACTGGGAATAAAGGTGGAATCACGGGTAGATATAGAGAGTCGAATTAAGGCGTACGGGATAGGATGGAAAGATTTGTGACAACAGAAAAATTAAGAGATAAAGGTGGAAGGTTGGATAAAAAAGGCCCAGAGGAGGAAAAGAAGAAAAGAGTAAAGATGGTGAGGGGGAGAGAGAGCGGGTCGGGGCTGTGGGAGAATATTAGAGGAGAAATGAGAGAGGCAAAGAGATGCAAGAGTGAGAGCGAGGGAAGCGAGATGGATGGGGAGGGGGGAGAAGGATTGGACAACACGATAAGAGAAGTGGGAAAAAGTAGTGGTACAGAAGATATAATGGAAAAGATACGGACAGATATAAGGGAAGTAAGAGAGGTGTGGGAGGAGGAAAGGAAAGAACGAACAGAAATGTTTAAAAAAATAATGGGAAAAATGGAAAGAATGGAGGCAGAGGGGAAAAGAAGAGAAGAAAGATGGGAGAAGGAAATAAGAAAAGTTAGGAAAGAACAAGAGAGAGAGAGAGAGAGAGAAGAAAGAAAGAAAGAGACGAAAGAAGAAAGGGAAAAAGCAGAACGTAGAGAAAAGAAACTGCAGGAAAAATGGGGAGAGAGAATGGACCAGTTGGAAGAGGAGTGCGTGAAACTAAAAGAAACCATAGAAGGAGGAAACAAGAAGCGAAGAGGAACAGACGTAGGCAATAAGGAAGAATTAGAGCATATGAGAGAAAAAATGGATAGAGAAAGTAGGATAAACAATATAATAGTGACAGACTTAGAGAGTGAGTTAAGATGGAAAAAGAAGGGAGAGGCATAGGTCTGGTTAAGGGAGGTACTAGAAATGAAAGGAGAGATAGTGAATCTGAGATGAATAGGAGGAACAGCGGAGAGGGATGATCGGAGAGAAAGAAGGAAAAACATGTGGCAAATTAGATGCGCTTTATGGGAACAAAAACAAGGAATTATGAAGAAGAAAAAGAATCTGGCACAGAAAAAGATATACATAGATCAGGACTGGACGTGAAGTAGAGAAAGATAAGAGGGGAAGTAAGAAGGAAAGCGAAAGAAACAAAAAGTAAAGGTAAAGAGGTAAAGATGTGGCATAACGGGGTGAAGTCAGAGGAAGAAGAATGGTGGTGGAGCGAGAGAGAGGGAAAAATGGTAGGAAAGGAAGTGGAAGGGTTTCGAAAACAATAGGGATAAAAGAGAGAGAGAGGAGAGAAGGGAGAGAGAGGGCAGAAAGGCAATAAAAATACTATTCTAGAACGTGGCGGGGGTGAGGAGCATGGAGGAAGACGACTGGGAATATGTTAGGGTATTCGACATAATAGGGCTAACGGAAACCTGGGTGAAGAGGCAAGGGGCAAGAACTGGTGTGGAGAAACAACTGAAAAGGTACAGCATAGAGTGGAGGGACTCAAGAAGGGAAGGAAGAAGGAGGAGAGAAATAGGGGGAGGAATAATGGCGGTAAGAGAGAGGAAAGGGATGAGTAAGGTTGAATGGAAGAAAGTAGGACAAGTGAGGTAATAGTAAGAGAAATAAAGATCGGAGGGAGGGAATACATGATAGCATCAGTGTATATGCAACATGAGAAGAAGGAAAACTATGAATACCTAAGCGGAGAGATAGAGGAGAACAGAGGAAAAACAATAATTATAGGAGGAGACTTTAACGCAAGAACAGGAAACGAAGGAAGGGAATGGGAGACAGAAGAAATTAAGGCCAAGGATAAAATGTTAAACGCAGAGGGAGAAGAAATGATAAAATGGCTAGGAGAAATGGGCTTAGTGATAACGAATGGGAGAAAAGAAGGAGATGAAGAGGGAGAAATAATATATATAGGAGCGAGAGGAATGTCAACGATAGACTATGTAGTAGGTAACGAGGAAGGTGATGAGGCGATAAAAAAGGTTTAAATAAAGGAGAGGGTAAAGTCGGACCACTTACCAATAGAGGTGGAACTGGGAGACAAAATAGCGGAAGAAAGAAAAGAAGAGGAAGAAAGAATGATAGACGACTGGAGTGAAGAAGGTATAAGGGAGTATCAGAGATGGATAGACGCAATAGAGGGAACAGATAAATGGAAAGATATAAAAAATAGAGTGAAGAACGCAGTTGTAAAAAAGAAGATAAGGAAAAAAAAGGATCAAAAAAAAGCTGGTGGAGAAAAAAATGTAAGGCAAAAAGGGATAGGGTGATGGCAGAGTTAAATAAGGTAAGAAAAGGGGAAGGAGATAGAGGCAAATATTTAGAAGCAAAGAGAAAATACAGAGAGGAAATAAGAAAAGCAAAAGAAGATGAAGAGAAAAGAGTGTCAGAAGAAATAAGAACAGATAAGACGAGAAGAAAATTCTGGGAGAAAGTGAATGGCAATAGGAAGAAAAGAATTGAATTAGACGAAAATATAGGAAAAGAAGAATGGATAAAGCACTTCAAGGAACAATTGGGAGAGAAAGAACAGGAAGAAAGTAAAGGGGAAGAAACCGAAGACAGCGAAGGAGAGGAAGGTGAAGAAATCAAAGAAAGAGAAGTAAAAGAGGTAATAAGAAAAATGAAAAAGAAAAAGGCGACAGGAGAAGATGTTATATCAAATGAAGCGTGGGTGGAAGGCACGAAAGGTTTGATAAAAGATATGACAAAATGCTTAAATGGAATATGGAACGGAGAAGAATATCCGGAAGAATGGAGGAAGGGAATAATAGTACCAATATATAAAAAAGGGAGGAAAGAAGAAGTAGGAAACTATAGAGGAACAACGCTGATGGATACGGGATATAAAATATATGCGGAAATACTGAGAAAAAAGCTGGAAAGAGAACTAGAAGCTAAAGAAACGCTAAGTGATACGCAGATGGAATTTAGGAAGAAAAGAGGAACAATGGACGCGATATTTATATTAAAAACAATAATAGGGAAGGAAATAAGGGAAAAAGGAGGAAAACTGTTCGTATTCTTTGCAGACATGAAGGCCGCTTTTGATAAAATAAAGAGGAAGAAAATATGGGAAACAATGAAAGAGAAAGGGATAAATAGAAAAATTAGGAAAAGAATAGAAGAAATATACAAGAAAACAGGGAGTAAGGTAAAAGTTGGAGGAGAAATAATTGGGGAGTTTGAGACTTACAAAGGCGTAAGGCAAGGGTGCCCTTTGAGCACCACGCTATTTAATCTTGCCTTCGCCGACCTGGAAGTGAAAATCAAGCAGGTGCAGGAAGGAGGGGTAGTGATAGGAAGGAAGAAAATATGGACATTAGGATACGCAGATGATATAGTGATGATGGCAAAGAGTGAAAGTGGAATGTAAGCAATGTTGAAAAAATTAAAAAGATACTTGGAAGAAAGGGAATTAGAATTAAATGTAGGAAAATCAAAGATGATGAAATGCAGGAGAGGAGGAGGAAGGGGGAAGGAAGAATAATTCGAATGGGAAGATGAGAAGATAGAGATGGTGAAAGAGTACAACTACTTAGGATATGTGATAAGCAGAAATAACGGAAATAAAAAGCAGAAAAAGAAGGTAAAAGGGAAAATAAATATGGGACTTGGAAAGTTATGGGGGCTAGGAGAAAAGCTATTTAGAGAAAACTGGGAGCTAAGGATGAACCTGTTCGATGCTCTGGCGAAAAGCGTGATTATGTATGGAGCAGAAATCTGGGGATGGAAGAGATATGAGGAAATAGAGAGACTACAACTAAAATACATAAAGTGTGTATTAGGATTAGATAGAAACACGCCAAGTTATCTAATATGATGGGAAACAGGAAGACAAGAAATGAAAGAAACAGCATTAGAAAGAGCAATGAAGTATGGAAACAAAATAAGAGAAGGAAGAGATGGCTTAATAAGAAAAGAAGCATGGAGAGAATTAAAGAAAAGGGAAAGAAATGAAAAAGATAAAACGGGTAAGAAGGAGGAGAGAGAGGAAAGGCTGGAAAAAAGTAAAATATACACAGAGAGAAAAGAGGGAGATGAAATGAGGGAAGAGTTTTGGGAAGAAATAAGAGATGAGCTAAAGAAAAAAGATGAAAAAGAACTAGAAGAAAAACTAGAAAAATCAAGATACATAAACGAGTGGAAAGAGCTGAAAGAAGAAATGAAAAGGTATAGGTGAAAGGAAATTTAAGTAGAAGGAAGAATAAAAGGCCTGCAAATAAGGGAAAGGTTTAGGTTAGGGAATGAAACGAGAGGAAGCAGGTATTGGGAAAAA